GATCATACTTTTTGAACCAATTTCAGGTTCCCAATCATCATTTTACATACTTGCTCATAAATAACACACACACACACACACACACACACATTTACATACCGTTTGAAATCACACATTTCAATACTTTTATTTGATCAAAAGTTATTTCATGTAACATTTACAAAATGCCATGAATCATGCTTGGCTGAAAACCATTTCATGCATTACATAGCATACTCATACATAGTTACAACAAATAGCCAAAAAAGAGGAGGTTATCTAGTTACCTCAACTCTTCTATCACTAAAAAAGTTACTCATGAATTTCAACCACCACTATAGCTTATCACAACCTTCCTTTCTTAACTCACACACTCAATATGTCAATCTGAACACATTTGGTACCATTTAGTCATTTGGTCTAATTTGACCAAAAATATATTTTAACTATTTGTGGCAATATTCATCTGTCTATTCTTTTTCATTTATCCATTCTAGGTCCATTATTACTTTACATCACCTCAACCAATCTCATTTCACTCAAACCATATTTTCTCGCTAAAAATCTCTTGATTTAGGGCTAAATTGAGCTTACGGGTTCAAAGCTCTATCGTTCAGCTCTAAACCAGTCACAAAGCTTTAATTAACTCCCGAGAACCTTTTTATTACTATTAGGCAAGAATTAAACCCCTAAAACTTTATCAATTCAATTTCTCTATAACTCATATTTAGAGAAATTTGGGTGAAATGGAAGGTAAGAGTTATATGTAGCTTACCTACTAAGTTACTGATCAAAAGCAACTTCCACCGCTCTGAAATTGCTTGCCCTAGCAAACCTCAGCTTTCTCTCTTCTCTTTTCATGTGTTTTTAGATTTTTCCTTCAAAAAATTACCCAAAATTCATGACTTAATGGGCTATTTTTTAGTCCATGCACTACAAGCCACGGTGCATGACACAGTGAGAATAATTCTCACCAGTCATACTTGTTTTGACCTAAAACACAATCCTTCCACCCGTACCTATTCCTAAAACATCCCAAAGACACAAATCATCAACTAACCATCCAAATCTATAATCCTACACTAATTACCACTTTACCCTTAATTAACAGCTAATCACAGGATTAAGAAATGCAAGATGTTATAGTTGGAACTAAATCTTAGTTACTCAGCAGACATGGTGAAAGCTTTCTACACCAGCTTCGGATGGGATAAGCAAAAGAAGACTTACAAGGCCAATGTTAGAGGATATCCCATGTATTTCACTACCAAAAGTTCAAGACACATATTTAGTTTTAAAGTAATAGGTTTGGATCTTCAAGAATTTGACTGAGCAAATAAGAGAAATGCTCCCAAACTCTACTCAAATGAAGATAAATTCAAGGCCATCATGATGACAGAAGAAGTGTTAGATGAGGTATTGAAATCGAGATTTATCTTCAGCCCAACATCCTTCCCATTCAAGCACAGGATGCTTGTATATATTGTGGCAAGATTTTTTATCAACAAGAGAACTGCCTTCAATACGTGTATTGAGTTTGAGACTGAACTGCTAACAAGGCTAATCAAGAAGTAAAAGATCAATATGTGTCACTACATATTGACCAACATGCTATATGCCTCAAAGGTTGACACTAAGAGGAAGAAAGAACAAAAGAAGGACATAAATATCTACTTTTCCATTATAATTTTTGCTATTCTGAGGAGATTTTATGTTAAATACCCTAAAGGAGTAGTGCTGGAACTAGAAGAACTCAAAGATACTACCCTCTACAAAAGGAACTTTAAGCTGGAAGGAAATAATTTTGTTCTAAAAGAAGAAGAGGTTGTTGACCCTACTACAACAAGAAAGAAAAGAAAATTGTTAAAGAAAGCTGCTATTAGGACTTATGAAGCAGCTGGAGCTTATACTTCTCAACCTTTACCTCATATGCCACTATTAGATTATGTGTTTTGATGATTACAAAACCAAGGGAAGAGTATTTGTTATGTGTGCATCTATAAGGAATCATGGATGAAGACAAAACCTCAAGAGCATAAAGAATTAAGAGAAGATGAAGTTTAGGGTAAGTAATTTAAATTCTCTTGGATTCAATGTGAAAACTTAGAGAGCTTAATCATAATTCTTAATCACTAAATGAATGCATCATATGTCTCTTTTATATGTATTAAGACTCATCTAAGTATGTTGAATATGGATGAAGACAAAACCTCAAGAGATGAAGAATCAAGATAAGATGAAGAAGTTTAGAATAAGTAATTTAAATTCTCTTAGATTCAATGTGAAACTTAGAGAGCTTAATCAAAATTCTTAATCACTAAATGAATGCATCATATGTCTCTTTTATATGCATTAAGACTCATCTAAGTATGTTGAAACTTGTAAACAATTTCCTTCTTATGTATGATTTTTCATAGAAAAAGTTTGCATAGTGAAGAGATAGAGTCACGCATGATTCTACAGGTCACTCACGAGTTTTTGCATGTTAGGCACACTGACTACTAGATCACATGAGTGTCAAGAAGTGCTTTACGTGTGATTAGGTACTTGTGTTGTATGTTGCCTTATGCTTTGTCTTTGTATGCAAAACCACGTGTGAAAGGCTTCAGTGTTCACACAAGTTTTAGCACTTGTACTTCATTGTATTGTAACTAAGTGCAAAACCACGCATGAGACTAATGGCAGCCCTGCGTGATTTATCACTTGTTAAACAAGCATACTTTATTTTGTTAAGTCTTAGATCCTCTCAAGTCAAGCTAAAATTGTTTTCATATATGATCATTGATTCACAAACCATATCTCTTGATCATGCAAAATCTTGCTTGAGTTGAGCTTTATTCCACCCATGAATATGCATAAGACAAGTTTATGCATTAGTGTTTGCAATTTCACACATGATATATTTCTGGTTCCATATGAGTTTTTATCACATTAAATGGCTTTGACATTCTACCAGCCATTTCACACGTGAGAGAGTAGGGGTTTCATGTGTGATTTATCACATAGAACTGATGATAGTTCATTATATACAAAACCATGCATAAGAGCAAGTAGTGCACTCGCAAGTTTTAGCACCTTAATATGTTAGTATATTTAAAAGTGCAAAACCACGCGAAAGAGCAATATGGTACCACGCGAGTCTTAACATTCAAAACTGAATGTATATTCATGAGTGCTAAACCACGTGAGAGAGCAATAAGATACCACGAGTGATTAAGCACACAAAACTAAATGGTTACTCAAAAGTGAAAACCACGTGTGAGAGAACACGGTTTCCATGCGTGATTTGTCACATTCAGTTTTGTGAAATTTCCTTAGTGCAAAATTACAAGTGATTATACTAGTTACTCACAAGAAAATGCACCAATGGATAGAATCACTATTCCAACGATCTGTCAACTTTCAAAAACTATATAGGTGATTCATTTTAAACTAGAATGAAGAATAATGATCTTTGAGCGAACAAATTACCATTTGTGCATTTAAGGAGCCTTCAAGTTGTGATTTTACACATTGCATTCATTTATCATTCTTGAAAAGAATTGTGAAAAGCTCTCAAAGATTTATAAGCTTTCATTTGTATTCTTATCTACTCTTTAAGAGAGTTTTCTATAAAAATCTTTTTTTATCATCTCAAAAATCTTGAAAAAGAATTTTCAAGTGTTTCACAACTTGCTAGCATATAACAAGGTGTATTAAGTGAATCAAGACAAGGTTAGTCTTGAGAGTTGCAAGTAACCATTGAAGCTTGTGTTTTTAATTGAAAATCTCAAGTGTGATCTTGAAGACTGGATGTAGGCCAAGCTTATGGTTAAACCAGTATAAATCTCGTGTGTCTCATCTTCTTCCTTCACTCTTTGGCACTTCACTCTTTTTAAAGTTTTCAAAAATTTTAAGTGTCACCCAATTCACCCATCTCTTAGGTGCCAGCCTATCCTAATACATGATGGCATGGCAAAGATAGAAATCCCTCATCATTTATTGATATCTAACTATAGGAACCAATGGAAGTAATTTTGTCATCCGCTTATCCAAATTTGTTTGAAAATTTATACAACACTAAATATTTCAATGATTGAGCAATTGAATCAGGTGAATATTTAAATTCTAACTTGGTGTGTAAGTCCACTCAGTATATTAATTCCTTTGATGATTTATATATCACTAAATTCCTTAACACAATCACTTGCTCTAGCCTACTTCCATACAAACTTATATTAAAGGTAGGATCACTTGTAATGTAGTTGAGAAATATAAACCAAGCATCTGGTATATGCAATGGCACAAAACTATGTATGACTTGGGTTGGAAGAATTGTTATTGAAGGCATAATATTAAATGGATCAAAGAAGAATCAGAAAGTATGATTCATCGAATGGACATGAATTCTTCTGTTAGTATATGGCCATTTCATATGCAATGAAAGTAATTCTCAATTATTCTTTTATTTGCAATGACTATCAATAAAAATCAAAATCAATCTTTGTGATATGTTGGATTGTATTTGACTAAACCTGCCTTCACACATGATCAATTATATGTGGCTTTGTCAAGGGTTTCAAGCATTAAAGGATTGAAGATCCTTCTACATGATGGTGAGAGTGTTGAGAAATTCACTACCACAAATGTTGTGCATAAAGAGAAGTTCAGGAACTTCGTATACCTTTTTCTAATTTAGCGCAACTATAATTTCTTTGCTCTTAATGAATTTATCATTCAAGTGTCAATTCTCAATTAATTGAATTGCATGGATTTCGCATAAGTAGTTGCCAAATAAATTAATGACAAAATTTGGATAATGAGACATGTTAATTTAAAAAATCATTAAGAATATAATTTTGGGAAGACTAATTATATGCACAGGATAGTAAAAGCTAGTTTTAATCAAATTTTTAGCTTCATACAATTGTCAATTATTGTATATTTCTTATCTGTTTATTTCTTCATTTTGCGTCAACATTAATGTGCGTGGCATGGGCACATTACTAGTCCATACTACATCTACAATCCCCAAACGTGGCTGCCACTCCAATTCAATTTTCCATTTAAATGTTGAAGGCTGAGATCTAAATAAGTCAAAATCTCAAAGTTGTTATAAACATATAACATTATTCATCACAATCAGAATAATAGAAGAAAGAACAAAAGCAAGTCAAGCAACCGGTATAGCTAAGGAAAAGCTGATACTTAGAGCTCTTAGAGATCTGCGAACACAGCAAATAGATCACTATTGACGTAATCGTTGTCCACCAAGCTTACCAAGAAATATTTGTCTCGCACCTGCAAAATGAGATTTAGAAGAATGGTCACAATTTCTGGCATAGGCAAGCTCACTCATTTCAACTTTGGAAAATCTGTTCTCTTTTTATGTGAGATTTTGGTGCTACGTGTATCTAACCTCGTCAAGCAATTTCCTGGATGGATCAGCCTCTGGGTATAGGCAAGCCCATCCTCTTGACCATATTTCAAATGCCTCATCTTTCCATACTTTAAAGCTAATAGGATCTACAACAGTAGGTTGGATGATCTCCTTGGCCGGGAAGACACCCCATGTTACAGCATTCACACTAGCTGGGCCGACATTAGATATCCACCTTCCATCTTTATTTACAGCCATGTAAGTTAGAGATGGTCGACTCTTGCATTTATTAACAAGGGCTTCCAGCTTTTCCTTGGAGCAGAAGAATTCTACATATGCCTTCTGATAAACATATCCTCCTGGTCCACCCCAACCTGCGCATCACATCATAGAAGCTAAGAATTTAGTATATGATCATATGGAAGACATTCTAATCAGCCAATGTCCCTTTAATTCGGTTCCCTCTTTTGTTTATAAATTTCAACAACATGTGGGAATGTGACATTTGATGCACAATTCAATTGCAAATAAAAATTAGAAACCAGAATTGGATGTAAACCAATTCAGATCTGCTGTAAAGGGAGACATTTGCAGAACTGCGCACTTGTAAATCAAGTTGAGGCACAAGACACTAGAATGGTTTCCTTAGCACTGTTCCATGCGTTTCAGATCTGAAATCATTGTCTTTGGATATGTTTGGAGGGGGGTAATAATAGAGGGGAAGGAAATGTTTGATTGAAACACTTTTCATTGTGTCTGGGAATTTCCAAAATAATAAAATATCCTCCCTCTTATAATCTTGAGTTCCCACAAGTTGAGAGATCGAAGAGGAGGAAGTTTCCCCAATGGGAAGGAAAATATCATTTCACCATTTTGCCCTTCCTTCACCATACCTTTTTCTTTGGATTACTTACTTTTTCCTTCCCAACAACCAAACATACCCATAAAGGCAGTAATCTAATGAAGTTTTATGCTTACATTCAAGCAGTTAAGCCAACCAGGGTTAACATGTTTAACAATGTGCACTTAAAGTATTACATATTTAGCCCCAAGAGACATGAAAAGACCTCCCCACAGGAAAATCAAGAAAAGGAGTTGTGGCCACAACTGTCGCCTCTTGAATTTTGGGAAAGTAGAAAAAGAAATCTCAACCTCTAGACTACAGAAGTAGGAACTGAAAACAGAGCAACTAATTCATGATTGTTAAGGTTGATTATATATGCAAATAGTATAGATTTTTTATTTTCATTTTTTTTTTTAGAAAACTTAACATCATGGGTCGCATTTGACTTCCTATGAAGTAGGAGATATAGAACTAATGTTTCCATGCAAATATCTATGATAATGTGGCATTTTCTTGCTCCTAACTCAATCCTAAAATACTACCATGGCAGAATCTAACTTCAATTAAAAAAAGTCCAGCATATCACATAATGTTTAGGCTTCCAATTTCTGCTTATTTACTGATATTTTCCTCTACAAATATATGGTGGTTCTTGTAGTAGGATGAATAGTGAGGAATTAACTAGTTACCTAACAATATAATGTGAGAATAAAGATATTGATATTGAGTCTCTGAGAAATGATGGTGCACCCACCTACAGTAGGAGAATCAGACTTTTCCCCATTGACAGCCGGTTGACTATTAATGGTGAGGAAGCCCTTGATATTAAGTTTCTCAAGCTGATCATTTATAATCCTAGTCTCTGGTTGAAGACCATCTAGTTCTGTCCAAGGACTGGTTCTCAATTTTCCAAGGCAGAATAGCCTAAATCTCTGAAATGTAAACAATAGGAACAAATTATTCAATTTGTAAGTGTCAACAAGAACTATGTAGTCACAGTCCAGTACATTATTTCTACCTCATGAATATCTTCAATGGTTTTCAAGGGAACAGCCCATTCTTCAATAAGTTTCTTATCACGAGAACGTGGCCGCATGAACTGTAACAAAGTAATAAATTGAGTAGCTATTACAGAAGCAGAAGTAACAGACATGTTACTGATCCATATAGCCTTTTTTTCAAAGCTGAAACATATTTTCCCTTTATTTTCTTTCACAAAATTATTATGCTGCAAATAAGCCTTTTCATTGAAAAAAGTGACCCTTCAAGTATATGCAGCTTCTTTATCATACTTTACATGATAGGGTCCAACCCTACACGTTACTTTTACGCAAATAGACTTGTTACCATAGTATTGTTAACTTTTTTTTTTTTTTGGCTTCATTATCCTGTCGACAGCAAGCAGATTAAGTTTAGTTCGTGAGGAAAAAAAAATGAATGCATGTTTAGCATGAACCACACACTCTTGAAATCATATCACTCCCTCACGATGTTGGTCCTCTACCCATACCTATCACATTTATTCTCTAGATCCTTCATGTGTAAACAGAGCTACAATGGCTACCTCCTATGTGTGAATCATAATTATTGTGCTTTTTATGAAAAAAATGTTTCAGGATGAACTTCTGGAATTTGCACAGACATTGCTGAAAATAGAGATTCAAATGAAAATACCCGAGATGTATCATGTACAATGAAATTAAAGCTTAATGTTATGAAAGACAATAATTTCAAGGTATACAAATATAAGTTCCTATGCCATCCTGCATACCTGATAATCAGTTAGTGCCCCATATGATGGATTACAAGAATCCCCCCAGCGCCCATGTGGGTATTGATCCCATCCTATGGTCCTTGATATGTAGCTTTTTGGACGGTTGGCCCTATTAAAGTTGGTCAAAGAAACTGAGAATTCTTTTAACAGAGTCACACAACTCATTCTAACAACAGAAATAGCAATTCCAAAGATCACATACCAAAATATTGGGCGAACATCTTCTTTGATACGGAAAACATTTGTAGGACGTCTCCAAGGTAAGGATCGTGAGATTTTGGACTCTTCAATTAAACCAAGATTCTGCCAGCATAAATGCAATCAGAATTTGCAATTATGAGAAAAACTCCAATAACCAAATCAAAAGTATACATATCACTAGCTAAAACATAATAAAAGAAAAATGAGACAACCATTAGTATGCCTAAAGCTGATTTTTCCATATTTAATGTATAAAGATGCAATGTCTTAATTCCATAAGCTAGAATCTTTCTGCACATTTCTGTTCCCAGGTGAATTCCATAAGACTTGACTGCTTCTTCATTGTCCTTGATAGGCTCTAAGGCAGCAGTAATTTCAGCAGGTATCTAGAATATTTGCAAAAATGAAAAGATCATATAAGAGCTCACTTCAGTTTCCTAATAAAACAGGAGGTAAAGAGCAAATATGTAGGATAAAGTTCATACAAACATGGTCTCAAGCAAATTATGTACTTGACTAAAATCTGACACAGTAGTAGGCATAAACAGGGACATTTAAACATTCAAAGCAGCAAAGAATTCTCAATTTTATCAAACTAGCTAAGTCTAAATGTAAAAACTTTGGCATCTCTGAAAATACAACTGGACGTAAGGAAGCCACCCCATTGAAATCTAAAAATGGGAAGCTTTTCCAAAATGACTAGAATGAAGATTAGCCATCTAATTGAAGTTGAATTTAACCTGAAATCCCGAATTATGCCTTCTTGAGAAGAACCTATATGTTTAATTTATGTACACTTCTGTACAAAACTTGTTGAAGTGTGATTGACACATTACATGGTTTAAGTTACAGAAGTGAAGGCACAACTCAGGTAACTTTTTCTCTAGCATATACAGAAAGAGAGTTCAATATTCTCATATTTAGGATAGCATCTGAAGGATTTTTCTTGCCTTTCTTTGACACAACCCTCGGGAGTAAACAATATAAAAAATGAACGTTAGATCTGGAAAAAAAAAAAAAATTGCTCACCTTTGTTTTACAAAAACCAGTCATGCGAAGAAAGCCCTTGTAGTTGTTTATGGGCATAATTCCAGGTACAATAGGACAAGTTATTCCAATTTGGCGACAGTCATTCACAAATTTAAGGAAGGTGTCAGTATCATAAAATAGTTGGGTGACAATCAGATCTGCTCCAGCATCAACCTACGAACAGAACATGAACTTGTAAAACAAAGATGCTGATGATAATATGAAAAACACCTTGAAGAAAGACAGCTAATCTGAAGTATTGACCTCACTCTCCCCACACTTTTCTTCCCATTCATTAAAAACCAACGAAGAATTCCTACTTCTTGAAAGTAGGCCAACATTTATCATGAACCAATTCCCTTTTTACCATCTCAACCAGGAAAGTCATATTTGAATGAGGTGTCACTAGAATTGCACATGAATCTAGTAATTAATGAAATTTTAAAGGGACAAGATGGAAGGAACAGTATTCTGGAGAAGGAATATAACCTTGCTCTTCAAGTAAGCAAGATCATTTTGATAACTTTCTGGTGTAGCCACGCCATCGTTTCCTATCATATCTGGATGTGCCTCTGTGAAGAAAGACAAAAAACTAAATGAGTAAATGATGGTGGCAAAGACTAAGAAACAGATGGAAGAAAGTAACAAAAGTGAAGTTAAAAACAATGTCAAAAGCAAGAAACCTGGATAACCAGCAACTGTGATGCCAAAATAGTCCCCATATCTGGCCCTGATATGTTTCACCTGCAAAAGCAACAATCTCCATAAAGTCAGGACCAGTCAGGCAGCCTAAAAAGATTAACAGCATGTTGGACAATCAAATATTAAAACAGTTTAGTGGAACATAATGTTAAAACATGTTATGAATCTGAGAATTAAAATGGATCACTGGTGACAGGGTAATAAATGGCTACATCACTTGTTGGAATTTTTTCCCACTTTCTAGTGCATAAAGTGTATGTCTCACCATTCTGTAGTGGTTTTAAATTTTTCTTAAGTGCAGTGACAAACAAAAATCAGTCATGATTCAATGAAAAACTTTAGCACAAGCAAAACAACATCTCTTTTTCACTACGAAGCATTTTTGCACACTAGTCCCAACAAAGCGTTTGCAATTAAATAATAGATAGAGTTTCCTGAGATTTCAATGATCAATATTTTCTAAAGAAACATCATCTAATGAAAATAATATATACAATCATGCATTGACCTAAAATACACACACACACAATCATGCAATTTACTGAAAGTAAATAGTTTATGAGTTGAGGTGTCATTCATTCCAATTGTTTCTACCATTAATCAAAAGACTAGCCATGTTAACAGTGAATATATTGGGATCAAAACCTTTGACTGATTACTTAGACCTATTATTTTAATGAACTAAATAAGACTGAAAGGACAATTGAAAGGAAAGAGTATGATGGTGTACCAGGTCCCGTGCACATGCAAAGCCACCTTCAACCTGAACAAACTTGTCCTGACCATGTGGGGGATCACCACGAAGAGCAAGCACATTCTGTAGGCCATTGGCCTTGATAGTTTGGAGAGCATGGTCGAGTTCTTCAACAGGCATGTTGGTGCAGGTAAGGTGCATCATGGTTTCCACACATATCACGTTCTGCATCTTGTTGGCGATTTCCAGTGTTAGATCTGCTGTTGAACCACCTGCACCCCAAGTGATGTCACAAAATGAAGGATTATGAGCCACCATGCGGTCCATTCTCTCAAACAGGTTATCCACCCCATCTTCAGTCTTTGGTGGAAAAAACTCAAATGAGAACACCACCCTATCTGGATCTGCTGCTGCTGCTGCCTGTATTTTCTCTATAACCTTCATTATTTTCGTTGATCGTAAGGACAACTACCAAACGAAAAAGTAGATCCATTAGGTGCAACTATACATTTCAAAACACACAACAGAAATCGCTTATAGACCACATTTCAACACAATAAATACGCATATTTGACATATGTAGTCAATCTAGCCATCCATCCTATAATACGAAGGAAAACGTGGTAGAATACAAATGCAATATTATGTTAATTAGCAGTATGAACTTTTCAGTAATGAGATTATAAGATATAACATCAGGAGAGCGTCAATGATGCATATAGCAACGCATTTAAAAATTTCGATGCACTTCAACACCCATTTACAATATTTTGTTTCTATACGAAATAAGATAAGATATTAATCTATACTGACTTATCCATATTCATAAAGGTGGGAATCCTAACCAAGGTAAAATATGAGTAGCACTTCAGTCTTGGTAAAATGACTTTGCTAAAATTTACTGATACATTAAGATTCTGATTTTTTTCTAATTAAAAAGAGTTCTCCTTCAAAACATTTTTAATCCAATAGTCTTAGAATTAAGCAACTCCGCCTATGTTTATAGCCGGTTCCAAGTCCGGATAAAGGAGGAGGGTTGTGTTAGGCCATCAACGGTCAATGTAAAAATTTATTGAATCTATCATGAACATGGTAGACGTCAGTCTTAGAATTAAGCACAAGGTCTCTGCTCCCATCAATTTATTGTCAATTTATTAATATTAGAGTCAGTAGAGAATACACGCACGCACGCGCACACAGAGACGCAAACTTAAAAGATCACTAACGATTAGTAGATTTTAAAGTAAGCAATCAGAGAAATGCAGATTTGCCAGAGCAGATCCCAGCGGAAAGACTTCAAATAAAAAAGAATGTGAATTAATTACGTTGAAAATCGAAGAATTCTGAAAGCTTTGCAGCTCCTAGATCAGACTCAATAACATGTTGAACACGAGCAGAGAAAGCAAAGAGAGAATGAGGAGAAGGAGAGAAATGGAAGACTTGAATAGACTATAAGAGACGATAATAATGAAAGATGGAGAGGAAAGCAAGGATGTCCCATACCTTCCGTTTGAGAATGGAGCAGAGAGCAAAGATCGTGGCGAAACGAAGCGAGTGATAGTCGGACTCTTTATTTATAGCCAGGGAGATAGATCTGAGACTGGAAATACATTATGAAGCTCTCTCTTGGTATTTCCAAAATACTTGTCCAAAACGTTTTTAATTTCTTTTATAAATCAATATTAGAGAGAATAAAAATTAAATGTCATCTAAATAAACAAATAACAAATAAGCACCATAACATAAAGTAAATAATTTGAAGTTTTTAGGAATTAGTTTAACAAAAAACATTGAAAAATTACATTTTTAACCTCAACAAAATGAAAAGAAAAAGTGCAATTATTAAAACACAAATTGAAATTGTTTGTAATGAAAGTACAATTATTAATATAAAACACATAATCATTAGTTTAATTATGCAACAATAAGTAAGCTTTTTACTGTAGTAACTTTAATTTAGTAATTAACAAATTTATTTTTAAATATTAATAATACAACTGATTATAAATTCAATTTAATCATACAATAACAACTATAATTTCTATATTAATAACTTTATATTTATTGTTAATAATTTTAATTTCTATTATTGTGTAAAGGGTCAGAAATTTAAAGTAATTATCTTAATTTTTATTCGACATCATTCCTGAATAAATTATAAAGTCATGCCTGGTTTTCAAAGTTTGAATTTTTTGTTTTTTATATTATTTTGTCACTTAGAATTTCGGGGGGTTGGTGATGGTAGTCGGTAGGCGAATATGGTGGGAGCCCACTTTGTTTTCCCGGTTGGTGGGGAATGGGCTAACCAAGTTGGTTATTTTCCCAAAAATAAAAAAGGCGGTTATATTTTATTTGTTTTTAAGAGATATTGTGTCAATTTTATATTACATAGTATATAAATTATAAATATATATTTATAAATTCTAATCATTATCATAGATTGGGAATATTTGATAACAAAATTTAAAATCTGATAATTTAAAATAGTATCTAACCTAGTCTCTATTATTATATTCTGTCAATATTTTTATCATACTATATTTGTATAAATGTAATTTATTATCTCTATTGTCAAAATTTTTAATAAAAATTTTATTAAGATAATATATAATTAGTTGCATCAATTTGTTTTGCCAACATAATTTGTTACCTGAATAAAACTAGTGAAGAGTCTTTATTTTTTAAATAAAAGTCAATATATTATCATATAAAATGTGTACGAAAGGAAAGGAAAGGCCCCTCATAAGACAAACTAGGTGCCCATTAGTAATGTTTGGCTGCTAATTGCGCCAACAAAGACATAAAGACTCAAAGCCCAAATGAAAAAAAAAAAACACAAACATCAGGAGAAGAAAAACGAGATCGCCCACAATGATGTAATAATCTAAAGCAGGTTGTCACGGCCTTAGAACTCCCCAACCCTTAAACCGTGCCCGCCTTAGTGTGATCAACCTCTTAATCTTTGTTAAGTCAGCCGAACCCTCAAGATGTAGGCAAAGAAATTAGGAAACTTGAACACAAGAGAGAAGAGAGCTTGGATGAGAGAACTTGAGAGCTTAGAACTTTGATTACTTTCTTTGTTATTTACAAATGAGGGGTTGTGGAGGTATTTATAGGCCTTCCCCTTTCTCTAGAAAATTCCCACCTCCTTAATAGACAGTTAAGATCAATCTAATCTTACGATTTACATTCATCCTCTAGAATGTCCCACAAAAATATCTATAATAAATATTTAGATATTTACAAAGATATTTCCAGAAATTAACCTACAAAATATGTGTGGAATATTCTAAAATATCCTAGAATATTCTAGAATATTCTAGATATCTTCACATTATTTCATAAGTTTTTAGAACCTTCTAGATTTCTCCAGATTATTCTAGATGCTTCTAGAACATTCTAGAACATACTAGATTCTTCCTGAATGTCCTAGATTCTCTTGAAAATCTCTTCATTGTCTTGGACGTCTCCAAAAGTATCATAATCTTATGGTTTCTTCTCTTTCTAAATAGAGATTATGACATTCTCCCTCACCTAATCCAGTGATGCCCTCATCACTTACTCGATTCATGTACTAGGGATTTCTCTTGCAGGGATTCTTCCTCTTCTTGGTTATCTTATGATTCATCTCTCCACAAGATGAGATTATTCCTGGCCTTCTTGGTATGCTATCTTTCTTTAATACTTGCATGGTTGATAACTGTGCAAGTCCACCCTTTGAAGTGGGTACCATGCAAGCAACTCCTCCCTTGAGGATGCAGAATATATTATGATATGCCATGATAAAGGCTTTTACCTTTCGCATGAACTCCAAACCAAGTACCACCTTGTTGTCATCCATACATGCAACTAAGAAATCTACCTTTCCATGTCAATCTCCAAGACATAGCTCGGCCCCTCGAGTAATGCCAACCAAAGGTTGAGGAGGAGAATTGGAAACTTTTAATAAACCTCTCCCTTTTTTAACTTTGAGACCTACCCTCTTAGTCTCTTCTGAAGAAATAAAGTTGTGGTCTGCCCCAATATTCACCATGATGTTAATAGGCTTCCCATTTAACTTAGCCTTCACATGCATTAATCCACTGCCTTGTGAAGGTTGGGCTTAAAGTGTTGAGGAGTTGAATTGATCATATCCTAAGATTTTCCTCCTCCTCTTGTGCTTCCTGCCTTTGCATTATAGCAGATAATGATCCTAACATCGGGCAATCCTTCATCCAATAAGGGCCTTGACATACAAAGCAGTGAAGTTCCCTTTTCTCCTTCTGCATTGTCTGGTATCCCTTCCCAATGTCTCCCTTGTTCATCACTTTCCTTTTAAGGTCTGTTCTTTTACCATTTCCTTCCCCACTATTCTCAAGATTAGGGTTAAAAAATATATTTTTAGGAGATTCACCTCTTTCCCTCTGAAGCTTTAAGAGATTTTCAGCAACCACTATGGCTTCATTGATGGTCTTGACACATCACCGCTGTAACTCATGCTTGGCCTAATTTTGAAGATCATCAATGAAGTAGAAGAGACCCTCTTCACTACTCAGATTTGGAATTTGAAGAGTTAAAGAGGTGAATTCCTACACATAGTTTGAGATGGTGGTCTTATGTTTGAGATCCCTCAGTTTCTTTCGTGCCTCATAAACCACATTCTTTGGGTAGAATTGCCTCTTCAACTCTTTCTTGAAATCCTCCCAAGTATTGATTATGCAAGCCCTTTGTCCATGTCTGCATGCTTCCTTCACCTTTATAGCATGGCATTGTCTATAAGGAAGTAAGCAGTGATACGTACCTAGGTTTGATCATCAATCATCCCCAAGGTGTCGGCATAACATTCCATTTTCCATAAGAAATTCTTAACTTCCTTGACATCTCGTACCCCCTTGAATTCCTTGGGTTTAGGAAGGTCTAACATGACTTCTCTTATTCCACTATTTCCATTTAATAATGGGTTTCTTCCTCTTTCTTCTAAGGAAGTCTTGAGAGTGTTGAGCTGTTGTTGCATCGTGGTGATGGCATCCATCACCTTTGTCTCTAAGGATTTCATGGTATCCTCCCGTTGATCCTCAGAGTTTTGTAAGGTATCCACATTACTCTTTAACTCTTCAAGTTCTTTGAGAGTGTGGTTTTCTAACATACCTATATCACCCTCAACCTTCTTTACTTTACCCACCATTTCTTCCATAGCCTTCTCTAAACATCAATTTTTATGGAGAGTATAGTAAGGTTTTTTGAACATACCTTACTAGTGCCTTGTGCCTTCTTGCCACCTTGGTGTAGAGGTTGGGATTCCCTTCCCCTCTCTTCATTGTGAGCAAGAGTCTTTTCAGTTACACCCGACATCCTTGCCTATAAGTATCCACCGAAACCACGGCTTCCTCAAACCTTAGCTCTGATGCCACATTATCATGACCTTAGAACTCCCTAGTCCTTGAACTATGCCAGCCTTAGCATGATCAATCTCTTGATTTTTGCCAAGTCAGCCAAACCCTCAAGATGTAATTAAAGAAACTAGGAAACTTGAACACAAGAGAGAAGAGAGCTTGGATAAGAGAACTTAAGAGCTTAGAACTTTGATTACTTTCCTTGTTGTTTACAAATGAGGGTTATGGGCGTATTTATAGGCCTCTCTCTTTCTCTAGAAAATTCTCACCTCCTTAATGGATAGTCAAGATCAATCTAATCCTACGATTTACATTCATCTTTTAGAGTGTCCCATAAAAATTTCTACAACAAATATTTAGATATTTACAAAGATATTTCCAAAAACTATCATTCAAGATATGTGTGGAATAACCTAGAATATTCTAGATATCTCCATATTCCTCCATAAGTTTCTAGAAACTTCTAAATTTCTCTAAATTATCCTAGATTGTTCTAGATGCTTCTAGAACATTTTAGAACATACTAGATTCTTCTTAGATGTCCTGGATTCTCTTTAAAATCTATCCATCGTCCTGGACGTCTCCAAAAGTATCGTAACCTTATGGTTTCTTCTCTTTCTGAACAGAGATTGTGACAGGGTAGACAAGAAGCTGTGTGGCTCATTGAAGAAAGATAAGTAACCTTTACAAAGAAAGGCCAAGCAACAAGTTGGAAAAGCACCATGAACCAAAGTAAAGTTTGACCTCTATAGATGGTGAAAATCAAAAGTTGAAGACATAACTTCTAGGATTTGAAAATCTAAAGCCAAAGCTTTTGTTTGGTGAATTCTTTAGGCATAAGAACCTAGGCTATAACTATACAAACTAAAACTCAAGAGAGAGGGGTTAAAGCTAGACACAAAGTCATCCATTAACCAAAAGATGCAGTACTAGAATCGGGACTTTGATGATGCTGCAATCCTTGAAGGTCCTTAATAAAATTATCCAAGATGATGGCCAAAACTCTGTGAAACCTAGACTATTAAGAGTATTGTATTTTCTCATCATAAAAAGAGCAAAGTTTCTCTTGCATACATGTGAGGTTAATAAACTAGCAGAAGAACCATTTACACTAGCAATGAAACCAAGATTCAAAAATGCAAAATGATCAAGTAAGATAGATGTATGAGAGCCAAGTATGTGATGCTTGCATGTGTAGGAAGCAAACCATTCTCAACCACATTTGATGAGTTCAAATGACCTCCATCATTATCATTC